ATACACACACACACACATATATATACATATATACATATACACACATATATATTATATGCATTGGAAATATCTGGGAGGATATATTCCAACAGCTAAGAGGCAAAACTTGGGTTATTTTGATTTGACAGCCTGGATTTTTAATAAGCATATACTGTTTTAAGGGAGAAAACAATACAATTCAATAATTATTTTTTGAGTACCTACTATGTGCTAGGCACTATTATCATTAGAGCTATTTTTTTTTTTTGAGACAGGGTCTCACTATGTAGTTGAGACTGACCTGTAACTCACTATGTAGCCCAGGCTGGTCTTGAACTCAGAGCAATCCTCCTGCCTCAGCCTCCCGAGTGCTGGGATTACAGGCATGCACCACCACACCCAGCTAGAACTATTTTTAATCTAAAATCTCAAAAAGAAGTAAAAATTTGTATCCCTCAACCTTGCATGCTAAAGCACATAATGGCTTAAGGGCTGTTCCTATAATTTAGGTCTTCTTTTCTTTTCTTTTTGTACCAGGGATTGAACTCATGACCTTGTGCTTAGGAGGCAGGCACAGTGCCACTGAGCTAAATCCCTGGCCCAGATCTTATTTTTTGTATCTTCATATTTTAGTGTAAGGCATAAACAACTCACTCTCACCTATGTTTACCATGAAAGCTTATTTGTGTCTAATGCATTTCCTGAACTAAAGGGAGTAACAACACACCATGGACACAAAAAGCTGAACTCTGCCCCACAGCTCCTGGAGCGAGCCTGGGGCTCCTACATGGTCACCGGCCCACGTCATATAACTGCCTTTGGCTGAAGGCAGAGCAAATACTTGTCTTAATTTTTAATTACTTTACCTGAATTTCTAACAGTGACTTTTTCTAAACTCATCTGTGGAACATCTTGGCCTCACCTCCATGGATCCGGTTTTGTTTTTCCCAAGAGGCTGCGACTGTACACTGCTACTTGAATGCTTATCCCACACACAGGCACTCCAGTGGCCCCGGTCAGTCAGGAGCAGCACGGGCAACAAGCATCAGAATTACCCGGGCCACAACAGGCCTTAGCCGTTAAAACAAAAATAAAAAACAACACAGAAAAAGCGGAGCTTTCTATCAATTACATTTTGGAAGGCTATTTCTCCTCCTTCCCCCTCGCTTAACTGCAGGTGCTCATGTTGAGCACCCTTGCACATCCGCCCACTGGCCCTTTCTTCTGCTGGCTGACTCTTCTACCCAGTGACCCCAATATTGTGACAAGAAAAACCAAGGCTGAGGCCCCTCACCAAAACGGCCAGCAGCAAACTGTAAGAGCTCTGTCTACAGTTCCTCCCCTGAGTGCTGGAGAACGCCACCTCCCTGACCACAGGTCTGTCCTGTCCTCTGGCCCACAAGGCCTGAGCTGGGAGTGAGTGACACCATTCTTCAGCGTCTAACTGATGTGCTCAGCCTCCCTGGCTGCGTATGAGCTTCTCTTGCACTTCCTTTCCCTGAGTCTGTAAGGTGAACATGCTGACACCAGCAGCCTCATGTACTGACCCTGGGACAATGGTACCAAGAGCACAGAGCACATCCTCCCACCCAGCTGTACTCCTAAGACTGAAGTAGTGTTCACAACCTTGCTAAAGAAACCCCTGATGATTAAAAAGTGAAGCCAGACTGGTTCAGGCCAGAGTAACTGGCAGTTGGGGCTGCCTGTCACTGTCCCTGGCATCCGTCCTCTGCACTGAGGAGACTCTCCAACAAGGCCACCTGCTCCTGACTCCTATAGCAACACTGGCTTTCTAAAGGAGTCATCTGGGAGCAGAAAATAAATGGATGAAACACTAAATCAATACAATGTAAAAGGAATAAGATGAAAACTAGCTTGCTCTGGAAGAGACTAGGGGAGGACTCCTGTAAGACTGGCACATACTGTCCCAAAACTAAGGAGAAATCACCCACCTGGTATGCTGCCTGTATCATCGTGTAAGGACAGAATGAGGTTAGACCCCGCCAGGACAGCATCTGAGGCCCATGGACCTCCCCAAGCTCTGGTGTCCCATGCATGGTAGGACACAGGCAAAGGCCACTGAGGGTTAGTTAGGTGTTTTAAAAGCCACATTCAAGCTAGAAGATGCCATTTTCCTGCCTAAAGAAGGGAAAGAGCCTATAGCTTTCTCCACAGCCACCAGTTCCCCGCCCATGCCCTGTACCTCTGCCTGTTCCAACCCAGCAGGCAGGTGAGCTGTGAGCTCCTCCACGCCCCTGCCCCTCCAGTCTCCACCTGTCCATTACCTGTCCCCTTCCAACCCTACTTCCTTATGCCTTCTTCCAGTGCCATTTACTGCACTTCTACCTCCAGCTTGATGCTTCAGTTTAACAGCTCCTCTAGTCCTGACCCACAATTTCCTTTGTATTTCTTGGCTTGCTTTCTCTTTTTTGGTCTATGCTCCAGGTCATCTGACTTTGGCTTCTGTATCCAAAAGAAGTCAAGTGTCCCAACAGATCCTCAGGCCCTGTCTTGTCCTTGGTGGCTCTAGGGGCTGTTTCAAAGGAAGACTGCAGCAGGTAAATAGCAGTTTGAAGTGCTCCATTTCTGATAGAGGGGCCCCACTTCACCTGCCTGCACTTCACCATTTTGTCATACAACAATTCCCCACAACACCTGTGTGGCCCAGCCAAGACTCTACTTCAAAGAGTGGGCTCTGAACAACTGCAAATGCACAGATCCACAATTAGCATCCTGGCCATGCCTCCAGGAAGTGACCGTGTTTGCCAGGGACAGAGAAACAACCTCAGGCTAGAGTCAGAGGCAACAGAATTCCATCACAGCGGAGGCGTGTATGGTGCCATGTGTCTCCTACCACTCTGACTACACATGGGCTTCCCCAAAAGCCTAAGAGGAAGGACTGCCAAAAGACAGTGCTGTTTTAATCATAAAAGACACCCACACGCATATGCACATAAACAGGATCACAAGTTCCCCTTCAGATGAGCTGGCTCTCTGGGGTGGGGGGTGGGGACAGTCTTATTTTATAACACTTGCTCATTTCCATGGTGTAAATACTTTCACCACGGCTGATCTCTAGATAGCAACACAGTTTAACTATGTTGAAATTAAAGAGATATATTCTCAACTGCACAATTGAGAATATGTCTTTTCATGCAGAGAATGTCTACAAGAGGCAAACTCCCTCAGTCTTCATTGATCTGCAAGTGTCTGTCACCCACTTTTATTGGATAGTTTAGCTGGATATAGAATTCTGAAATTTATTTGCTTTCAGCCTCTGAAATTGAGAAAGAGGAGATAATTCTTTCTTGGGAAGTAGGGAGAGCAAGGAAGGCTTCATGAGGGTAGGCAGGAAGTAAAGAATAGGAAGATGCAGAGACTGGGTTGTGGGAGGAGGTTCTGGGCATATGGAAAGCAAAAGTAAAGAAAAGTGTCTGTGAAAGGTGTATTACAGTGCAGGAAAGGGAAGACTAGGGAGACTGGGGAAAGGTCCTTGGAGGGTGCTGAGGAGGAGCTCCCCTTTCATTGTGTAAGCACCAGTCATCATACTGTAAGGTTCTGAGCAAAAGATTAACAGGATCCAAAATACTACAAGCAGTAAGAGAAAAGAAACAAATCACATGCAAAGGAAAGCCCATTAGAATCACAGCAGACTTTTCAACACAAACCCTTAGGTCAAGGAGAACCTGGAGTGAGGTATTCCAAGTCCTAAAAGAAAATAACCTCCAACCTAGACTGATGTATCCTGCAAAACTCTCTTTCAAAATAGATGGGGAAATAAGATACTTCTACGACAAAGAACACCTGAGAAATTTCATGAACACCAAACCAGCACTATAAGGAATTCTAAACAATATCCTAGAAAAGGACAATGAAGGTCACAATAACATGAGGCCCAACAGACCAAATCAAATAGGCAAGGCAAGAAACTAAAAGGAGATGGGAGAAAAAGTAAAAAGAGTCAACAAAAGGACAATAACATGACAAGAATAAGTCAGAACATATCAGTTATAACCATCAATGTTAATGGCCTCAATTCACCAATCAAGAGAAATAGACTGGCAGAATGGATTAAGAAGCAAAATCCAACAATATGTTGTATACAAGAAACACACCTAGTACAAAAGGAAGCCCATAGACAGAAAGTGAAAATATGGAAAACAATTCTCCACGTGTCAGGAGCCCACAAAAAAGCAGGGGTAGCAATCTTATTCTCAGATAAAGTAAATTTCAAACCAAAACTCATTAAGAGAGACAAAGAAGGACACTACATTCATGTAAAGGGAACAATTCAAGAGGAAGAGTTGACAATCATAAACATATATGCACTAAATATAAATGCCCCCAACTATATAAAACAAATATTAAGTAACATGAAAAACCAAATAAGCACTAATACAGTTGTAGTGGGGGATTTAAATCCCCACTATCACAAATTGACAGACCATCTAGGCAGAAAATCAACAATGAAATAATAGAACTGAACCAAGCTTTGGAACACATGGACTTAATAGATGTTTATAGAGTATTCCACCCCCAAAAATCAGAATATACATTCTTTTTGGCTGCACATGGATCATTTTCCAAGATAGACCACATA